CTTCTTGCCCCTTCCTGGATGTGGCGATTGCCATAGTCTCTGGCTCCCTGGCTCACTGCTGTTGCATCCTGTTACAGTGGGGCCTTCTGTGGGTGCCTACATGTGGGCCACCCTCTGATGTGCCTCTTCTCCTCCTGTGGACACTGGCATTTCACTCTCTTGCTTTTTGTTTTTGCCATGCTTGGCTCTAACTGAGGTCTTTGCATATGCTAAACAAGCAACTACCACTAAGCGATAGCCTCATAACCTGGAGCCTCATCTTAACTTGATAATGCTTGCAAGGATCAATTTCTAAGTATTTCCACACACACAGGTATCAGAAGTTAGAAATTAAACACCACATCATTTTGAGGGACATAATTAAACCTCAACTTTAGCACAAACTGAAGTTCAACATTAATTTTTTTCCCTACCTAGGGATCACTGAGCTACATCTGCAGCCTTTTTTTATTATTTTTTCATTTAGAGACAGGGTCATGCTAAATTACCCAAGCTGGCCTCAAACTTGTAATCCTCCTGCCTCAGCCTCCCAAGTAGCTGAAATTGCAGGCATGTGCCTCTGAACCCAGTTCAATCTAAAAATTCTGTATCAGATATAATCCACATTTTTCTTGTTAACTGATGAGATTGACTTTTTTTCCTGGAGATTGAACCCAGAGGCTTGGCACTGGGATATTTCCCCAGTCTCTTAATTTTTTGTTGTTATTGTTGTTGTTAAGACTGGGTCTCACAAACTCACTAAGTTGCTAAATTTCCCAGGCTGAGCTTCAGCTTGCTCCTGCCTCAGCCTCCCAGAGAGCTGGGATTACAGGCACGCTTGACTTTGATACCATACACCAGAGACTTCAGGAAACGAGTGTGCACACACTCACACACACACATATACAGACATATATTTTGGTCTCAACTTAAAAAACTAACCGGTGAGGCTGGAATGAGAGCGGGGATTACTTTAGAACAACTCTAACGTTAGTGTGTCCTTGTGAATAACAAGATTTCCTGAAAAAGCGCAGTAAGCTAAAGTTTAGAATAATGTGTGGGCTGGCCCTGCAGCTTAGAGGCAAAGTGTGGCTTAATGTGTACCTCAGCATCACAAGAAAGAAAGAAACAGAAAAATGGGATTTCATTGAAATTCATCATACCTAATCTACTTGTCTGACCTTGGTAGTAGTAACTAAACCAAAGAACTAACTTGAAAATGTACTGAACACTGGGCACCGGGTGCCCACCTATAGCCCCAGCACCGAGGGAGGCTGAGCCTCCTGTGGGGAATTTAGTGACATGGCAGGACCCTGTCTCAAAGCAAAAAGAATGAAATAGATCTGGGATGTAGCTCAGCAGTGCAGCAACCCTGGGTATGGTCTCCAGTGCTGAGAAAAAAAGCAAAAGGAATAGAGAGAGTGTATTGAAAAGGCTTTTTCCTTCTTACGCACCGCGTAAACCCTGCAGATTTATAAGCCTTCTTGTAGGATATAAATCTCCCCGTAGGTGAGGAGCTCGATTCACTCCAGAGGTTTGTAGTGGAGCTGTTTCTCCAGCAGTGTCACTAGTCCAGGGGTCATCACTATACCCTTTCCTGGTGGCTCTGGTCTGGGTGTGGTGTCAGCCTAAGTGACCTGGTCTGTTTTATCCTTTTAAAGCTGAGTTACCAGTCATGAATTAAGTTCATTTTTCAGGTTGTGTGCATAGCTGATGCTCACTGGAAGCACTTTCGGTGTCTGGCTCTGGTGACATTTCCTTCAAAGCCCACATCACCATGGGCCTCATCATCCAGAGCTGTGTTCTGAAGCATTCCTGAATGGTAAGTCAGTTCATTGGGTTTCTGCTTGCTGATCCAAAGTTCAACCAAGCCATGACATGTTTAGCTTTTCTTTAATAAAAGAACCTTCACAGGTGGCATGGGGATTCTACAGGATATGGTGCAAAAATTGTGTTTGTGGTTGGGTGTGGTGGTGCACACCTTTAGTCTTAGTACTTGGAAGGCTGAGGCAGGAAGATCACTGTAAGCTGCAGCCAGCCTGACTGCATAAATGAGTTGAAACCCAGACTGAACTACATAGGTAGACCCTGTATCAAAAAAAATTTTTTTTAAGTTTGTTATTGGGTGTAAATGCTGTCATTCTCCTTCTGTATGTTTCCCATTATATCATCCTAATCTAAAATGACAGATGATTTGTAAGATCAAGAATACCTAAGAGATCCACTTCATTATTTTGATATTTACAGGAAAGTTGATCAAAAAGTGCCATAGATAAACAAAAAGAGTAATTTTAATTCCTTCAATCTGTGTGTTTTAATGACTGGCAACTTTGGATATAGGTTACAGCAGGAAAGAATATCATGAATTGATATTCTGGAGAAAAATTCATGGAAGTCTATATTTACTGGTTGATTGTTCTTTAACTTCCCGGATTTACATTTCATTACTTTATCTCTGGAACAGACTATGTGGATGTGAAACCTGGTGAAATCTCTCACCAGTAACAAAAACTTGGGGCGACACTGTCAACATCTCTGGGTCTCGGCTTCCTCACCTGCAAAATAGAGGGGATGACTGTTTAGGGATGAGACTGTATACGTCTCAGGGATTCCATGAATACTTAAAAAGTCAGCACACACAAAGAACTCTCTTCTTAACCTGTCTCTTCTCTTTCTCCCACTGAACCTCTGAAGTGGAAAGTAGAGATGTTTACTAAACCATAGAAAAGGGTCTGACAAATATTGGTCTGGATACAGTGGTAGCTCGGTTCATGAATTTAATTCTTCCATGATTCTGGTCAGAGAAACATTTAAGTTTATGAACCAAGATGTCACTGTAAAACCAATAGAAGCCAGCACATGTTCATATCTTGTAGAAATGTAAAAACAACAAGAAAATAAAACATACTTAAGAAGTATTCTGCCAGAGGAAGACACTGGGAAAAAAGGTTTGTTTCAAATCACTTCTCACACAGTAAAGAAAATATAAGGAAGAATATTTCCTTAAAAATACTTTAATCTATAAGGCCAAAGTCTAAAGACAATGCATGTCCCTTCTCAGAGAACAAGCACAACATCCCACAGACATTTTTCTAGATTTTGTTGCTTCATACTCAAAAGACTTTGGGGTTGGGTTGGTTGACTTGGTTGGTTGGTTCATTGGTTTTTTGAGAGAGTCTCACTGTGTAGCCCAGGCCCACCTTGAACTTGCTGTGTAGCTCAGGCTCACCTCCAACTTACAATCCTCCTTACCTCAGCCTCCCTACTGCCACCAGTTCTAGCAAGACAGTAAAGTTCATACACAGGAGTATATTTTGTAATTTTAGAAATAAGTAGCAACTGTGCAGATGTATACCAGAAGAAAGAGGTCAGGAGGAGACCCCAGTGTCTCTAGCTTAGGATACCATGAACAGAGTTAGAGACACAGACAGCGGAAACCTAGAAAATAGTGGGCTATACTTTGGAACTCACTGTGTTTGAGATGCCTGAAAGATTCTTACAGACTTTTCAGGCGACCTTTGGGGATTCAAGGCTAAAGTTCACAATAAGCCCAAATGCACTGACCACTTCAATATAGGTAAAGTGTGACTATAACCCTTAGCAAAAGAAAATAGAGCAAGAAAGATGGATAAAGATCACAATTTGGAGACTAAGGAGGGGCTCTTGCAGGATACAAGAAGAGCCAGAGAAGGAAGACAAGGACACCAATCCAAATTCCAAGCTATTCCAAAAAGACAGAACAACACTAAACAAAACAAGAGCACATCCAAAGGTGATCTTATAGTTAGGAGCTGGCTAAGGGTCTCTGAAAACACACTTTCACTGAATGGGGAAATCAGTCAGGAACCCAATTATATAGCACTCAGAGCTAAATGGGAAGGGAAAAAGCAAAAGTGATTCAACACTCATTTCTAAGCCCTCGTCACACTATTTTTCTTTCATTTCAGAGAATTTGCTATGGCCTACTGAAATAGCTTAGCTATCTTGATAGAAATTTAAAATATATTTATCCAGCTAGTTCATAAAACATAAATATGGCAGGTACAGTGTGATGAAAAGGAGACTGAAGATAGGAACATTAGGAAAACTCAGTGTTAACAGAGGCAGAGAACAAAATAAGAAAGAGGCCATAAAAAATCCTCAACTTCTTTTCCATTTATCATGTGTTTGCACACTGCATTTTAGAATCATATTATGTTAACTATTGAGAAAATAAATGATTCTGACTTTCTGTCCTATGCTCAGATGAAAAATGTAATGGAACATCATGTTGTTCTAGTGGAATCAAGATAAGTATATAATAAAATGCAAACAATGGATTTCTATATGAATATATCAATCTTCCTGGAGGGGGGCAGGTAACGGCACAGGCTGAAATCCCAGAACTTGGGAGGCTGAGACAGAGAATCACAAATTCGAGGACAACCTAGGTTACATAAGAAGTTCAAGGCCAGCCTGGGCTATATAGCAAGACACTGTCTCAAAAAACTAAAGTTAAAAAAAAATACTAAAGGATAAAAGTAGATCATGGAAAACTGTAGAATGAAGTAGTAGTTTTCACTTCAGGGGGATATCTAAACCAAGCTATCCGGGGAAAGTGGGTTCTGATTACCTGGGTAGAGCATGGCTATGTCTCAAAAAAAAATTTTTTTTTTTGTTTTTACTATGCGGTTAGGAGATATTCAAAGGTTTGGGGAAAGAAGGAGCAAGATCTCACTCTAAAATGTCATCCATCTATGGGCCAGGAATTTAGCTCAGTGGCACAAGCACCTGCCTGGCAAGTGTGAGGTTGTGAGTTCCATCCAGGCACCAAAAAATTAATAATAACAATAGTAATAATAATAATAAAATACAATATTGTCCTGGCTACTTGGGATGCCAGTGGTGAGAAGCATTCCGAGCCTAAATAAACTTTGGTAGTAAAGCTGTCAAACTGGTTCACCAAGGATGACTCAGAGGGTCTGACCCCAGCACTGGAAGGGTGGAATGGGCCAGTCAAAGTGGGTAAGTGTTGGGAGCCGTGGCACTGTCAAGTCATCAGACTCGGTGATTGCGAGGCCTGTGGGAAAGTACAAAAGCCTGGGCTAGATTACCCCTCTCATCGAGCCCGCCTGTGTGGCACCTGTTTCTTATCACCCCACTAAGTTCCCGCCTCACAGGGTAGTCTGCCTAGCTATTAATCCTATATATAGCCAGTGCCTCCACCCCCGAGAGAGAGAGAGAGACTGAAGCACGAAAGGAGCCGCGGGGAGCGGACCGGTGGAGGCTTCGGGGCAGACTGAAGCACGGAAGGAGCCGCGGAGAGCGGACCGGTAGAGGCTTCGGGGCAGACTGTATAAGGAGAGAATAAAGAAAAGCCTGACCACCGCCAGACCTTGTCGTGTGTCTTTCCTGCCAGCCGGGAGCGGACATCGACATTTGGAGGCCCGCCCGGGGATTGATCAACCCCGAGACGCGGCGGTGGACTGCATTCTCCTACACAGTGCTGCAGCTGCAGGACAGGTGAGTAGAGGATAAGCCTGGGCCCTGGGTGGCGCGCACCTGCAGGGTTTGTAGACTCCTCTCAACCTCACGCGTAAGTGGCGGGTTTCTTGGGCCTCACGCGGTGAGTATGAAACATAACACCAGAACTTAAGGTAATAAAAGAGTGTAAAACATAAACATAGAAGTAAAAATAACAGAAGATATATTAAAAATGGGAAACATGCCAAGTAAAGATACACAGCCTTGGTGTTGGTCCTTCGGAGACTCCTAAAGTCCAAGGACCTCAAGGTGGGGCGTAAGACTTTAGAAAATTTCCTTGCAGAGATTGACAGCTTTGCTCCCTGGTTTCTGCCTACAGGGCATGTAAACCTGCCCTCCTGGGAAAAGTTGGGCAGAGACCTTTCCCTAGCAGAGCGGGAGGGTAGAGCTTCAGTCTCTGCTCGTCCATTGTGGGAAATGATACACGCGTGCCTAAAGAGTGAGGGTAGTTACGGGGGGAGCTCTCAAGAACTTGTAGAAGTGCGCGAGGTGTTTGAACAGGCACAGTGAGGAAGCTCCCGAGAAGGGTCCGTCAAGGAGGGCAGAGATACAAAAGAGGAAGCCGAGGCGCGGTTTGTGTCTTTCCGCAGGAATCGGGACGAGAACCAATGTGGGTCCCAGAGAGGTTGACGCGACAAGTCCCTCGACTGAAGATCAGGCCTGTTCCACCAGAGGCCAACCGCAGACCCAACAACAAGATGAGCCCTAAAAGAACTGCAGGACAATCCCTTTTTGGGGGCCTGGAACGGCTTGCTCCCCTATGTGCTACCCTTGTATACGCATGGCTTGCTCGCATGGCCTACGACCGCGTTTAAAAGTGACAGGCTTCCCACATTCTCCTCCCTAGACAACAACATGTAGCAGGGTGGGTGAGTCAATGACGGGTAAGAGCGTGCCTCCCCAGCACGACTCAACCTAAGCCAGGCCCTACCCCGTTCCGCTCGAAAGCCGCTGGATTGTTAGATAAATTTCTCTCCGAGGGGATTCGTGGAGAGAAATGAGTGCATGCCTATGTGCAACCAGGTTCCGTCTGGTTCATTCCTGGCCCTAGAAAAAAGGACGAGGGCCTCAGGGCCTTGGTGGACCCTGGGACGGCCGACCAGGGTCTACGCTAAGGGCCTACGGTGGGCCTCAGTTCGGGGCATAGGCCTCTGCACTCTATCCAGGACGGGCTGCGATGCGCGTAGCCATCATTTAAAATAAAATAGGGGGAGATGTTGGGAGCCGTGGCACTGTCAAGTCATCAGACGCGGTGATTGCGAGGCCTGTGGGAAAGTACAAAAGCCTGGGCTAGATTACCCCTCTCATCGAGCCCGCCTGTGTGGCACCTGTTTCTTATCACCCCACTAAGTTCCCGCCTCACAGGGTAGTCTGCCTAGCTATTAATCCTATATATAGCCAGTGCCTCCACCCCCGAGAGAGAGAGAGACTGAAGCACGAAAGGAGCCGCGGGGAGCGGACCGGTGGAGGCTTCGGGGCAGACTGAAGCACGGAAGGAGCCGCGGAGAGCGGACCGGTAGAGGCTTCGGGGCAGACTGTATAAGGAGAGAATAAAGAAAAGCCTGACCACCGCCAGACCTTGTCGTGTGTCTTTCCTGCCGGCCGGGAGCGGACATCGACAGGTAAGGCCGAGGCAGCGGGATCCAAGGGGAGGCAGGGAACCACTCGTTTTGGGCCACGCTACCTTTGAGTTGTCTCCCAGATGTCCAGCTGGAGAGTTCAGCGGGACACTCGGTCCGCCAGCCTGGGAGTCCAAAGGTGCTGCCGATGTCCCTGGAGTTTCCTGGAACAGACTTGAGGGCAGCTGCCCCAGCCTCCGCAGAGGAATCAGCTGGAACTGCTGCCCTGGAAGGCACTCCATCAGAAATCTTTTCCAGAAAGGCCTTCCAGAGAGAAGTTCCCTCGAAGCCTCAGCATGGACTTTTTGAGGCAAGTCGTTAGTCACAGGGAACATGCTGCATGAGAACTAGTGTGTCACTCAAAAAGGAAGCATGAGATGGGAAGATCACAAATTCAAGCCTAGCCTGGACAGCTGAGCAGCTTAGCAGACCCTGTCTCGAAATTTAAAACAAAAAAGAAAAGATGTTAGAGAAAGAAGAAACAAAAGAGTCCCAAGAAGAGAAAAATCGAAGAACCGTTTCCATGCTTTATGCCACTGTCAAGCGGTCGGAGGGAGAAGGGTCGCCCGAGTCTTCACCACAGAAGCCTCAGTGGCCTCGCTGGCCGGGCCACGCCTTCCCGCACTGCTCACTGGCCATGCCTTTCACAGATGGAGCACAAGCTCCACACCTCAGGACTCAGCAATTCTGATCTGTTCCCCAGCGAGGATGCTTTGTCATCCTCCCTGATGAAGGCAAAATGCAAAATTCAAGGACAAGAGACATTGTTAAACTAATAATTCGCGAGGATGAGAACTATAATCTCCTGCTTATGGGAGGCTCTGGCCCTGCCTGTTCTCTCCTGTCTTATAAGCCCTACTCTCTGGCAATAAACCTGAGAAACAGGCTTGGACGTTGGGTGCTCTGTTCTTTTCCCATGTTTGCTGCATGGGATCACACTGGTATCCTTGGTTACTTTCACAGTATTCAAGAGTCTCTTAAATAGAACACAATAAGCCGGTAAGTGGACAGAGCTTCAAGTAAACAGCTGTTGGCCCTTGCGATTTCTCCTCTGAGTGCAAGAGGCAGACTTGGCTCTGGCAAATTCCTCTTACCCAGCATTTACGAACCATCTTCTAGATTTGGGCAATCATTGGAGAGAGGACTTGGAGAAGAAAAGACACATCTGTAGCCCTAGAGTCCTTCCAGGGCAGCTACACTGCCCTTTCTCAAGTGACACACCTGCTATGGTCACCTTTTCTAAGGTCGTAAGTCTTTTTTTTTTTTTTTTTTTTTTTTTTGTCTTTTTGAGACAGGTCTTGCTATGCAGTTCAGGCTGGCCTTGAGCTCACTTGAGCCCAGGCAGGTCTTGAACTCACAACGATCCTCCTGCCTCAACCTCCCAAGTGCTGGGATTACAGGCATGAGCCACTACACCCAGCTGGTCATAAGTCTTTACCTTGGCTCAGAAAGTTTCCAGGGTAAAGGAACATGCCGGTTAAGAGTCTATCTATTCTACAGCAGTAGGTCCTAATTAGAGATGGTTGACCTGCTGGGCAATGTCTGAAGCCTTTTTGATTTTCTCAACTGGAGGTCACGGAAGGAGTGGCTGCTTCTGGCACCCACTGGAGGACAGTCTTAGTCCCCATAATAAAGAATTATGCCACGCCAAATGCCTGGAGTGCTAAGGTTGAGACATCTACTTATAGCCCTGGCGTTCTTATGTCGTTAACTTGCTAACTCTTAGTGACAGCAACACTGAGAAATGTCCATGTGTCATCATTAAGACGCTGGAAAGAGGAAAGCATGGAGGACATGTATCTTCCTCCCCCACCTTGCTGGGAGCTGGCTGAAGATCTTCTGGGATTTGTGCCTTTCACATACCCAGCCTAGAAAACTTCTGCAGAGGTAGACAGAATCTGCTCCAATAATTGTGTGGCGAACATGTGTCTTCCATCTTCCTTTCCTAAGATTTGTTATTGTCCCTTCCATGTGAAAGTTTACTGTCGTCTGTCGATTTCTCTCTCACGTTCTTCTTGGTACATGGCAATTTCCTCCTCCTCCTCCTCCTCCTCCTCCTCCTCATTTTCACCTCACCAAATTCATGTGCTCCCTCAAGATCTAGCTCAAGTGTTGACTCAGTCATTCGCGCCAGCTACTTCAGGTCACAGAGAGGAATGTCCCTCAGCCTGCTACACCAAAACATACTCCCTCCACAGTTGCCAACAAAGACCTCCAGTTCTGTGTGTGACTCTCAGATGAACTATGGAGTTCGTAGGTCCAACTTCTTTTCCATTTTATTTTAATTTTTCTTGTTGTTGAGACAGAGTATCTCACTACGCAGCTTGAGTTCTTCCTGCCCCAGCCTCCTAAATGCTGAGCTCACAGGCATGCGTCACCATGCCCAGAGGGGTCCAGTTTCTCATTAGGAAGAATAAATATTTATTCACAATCTTACACGACTGGAAGCTGTGCAATCATATGGCACAGATGAAAGCAGGAAAGTGATACTATATTCCAAGCAAATTGTTGCTATGAATGTGTTATCTGCAGAGGGGAAAAAAAAGAGCATTGTAGAGAAATGGCCAGCGTCAGCTAAAGCCACTTCACGTGTCCAGTTCTGAAAGGATCCTTTTTCCTTAAGCAAGACTGAAGGCGAAAAGAAACATTCCTGCTTCTAGACTGTTAGATAAAGGCATTTGAAAAGTTTTACTTAAAACATAGGCAGTTTAACTGATCCGTTTTAAGGGAGTGGGTTGTGGAAAACAATGGATTTTGGTTTTGGGTTTTTTTTTTGGCATGGGGGAAAAACGATCAGTTATGAGTTTAAAACAAGTCATAACCCACAGCTGCTCAGTATTTAAAGGAAGGAAAACTGCTCAGAAGTTGACAAAGTAAAGTCAGCCTTCGTGTCACACGTTACTTTCTTTCTGTCTAGGTAAGAGCAGCTCTTTGGTTTGCCTGGGCTGACGGAGACCACCTCAGTGTTCAGCCCCATATTATTACCAGCCCTTTATTACCCAGCCATTAAAAAGAGAAGTCAAATCCCAAACACTGCTTTCTCTTCTGTCCTTGCAACACAAAACTCATGAGATCAGGGCTACGGGAGCAGCAGCCTTGGGGTACAGGCAGTGCTGGGATCAAACCTCAGCAGGCCACAATTCTGCATCAGCTGATTTCTCGCTGGAGGGAACATACTTTTCCTAACCTATTTTCTTGCTACTTCATAGAGACTCCACTAGGATTCAGCAAGAAGATGCATGGAAAACATTTGACAAAATCCCTGGTGCGCAGCCGTGCTTACCTGTAATCCCAGTACCCTGGGGACTGAGGAAGGAGGGTCTCTGTGAGTCCACGGCTACCCTGGGATGCATAGTGAGTTCAAGACCAGTCTAGACCATACAGCAAAACCTTGTCTCAAGACCTCAAAGAGAAAAAAAGAAAAACAGCAGGTGCCTTAAAAATGATAGAGAGAAGACAGGAGCCTCTTCCCTTCCCTTGCTTTTAGCCCCAACCTTTATGCTTTTTTTCTATAATTTGACCCGTTTTTCTCAGGCTCTCCAGAAAGAGTCCCTTTCACTTTGTTAGCAACATCTCTGTCTCTTCTACTAAGGACGGATTTGGCTTCCTTTTCACTGCCCATGTATTTCTTAGCATACACATTAGGAAACATGACGTGTTTAAAATGCGGGAGAATGTACTGGGCCAATTTGAATATTCCCAGCTTGTAAATAAATAAATACATAAAATAAAATACAGGAGAGCACCCTGACTGTGAACTCTAGGCACTGAACAAAGTGAGAACATGACAACGAACATGAATTATGTGCTGCATCACACAGGAGTTCTGAAACAGGAAAGTCGCCTCTGGTGGGTGCGGTCCACAGTCATATAATGTGGTTTACAGTTTAAAATATCGACTATAAAACACCAGCTCAGAGCGAGTTTTGGTTTGGCTATAACCACAGCAAAAAGAAAGCCCACTCACACTAGGAGCGACCTTTACACCTGTTTGGGTTTCTTAGTAACTTATTTTAACAGATTGTCTATACAAGATGGAGTTTTATGGCTGGTATCAGTTCAAAGGTGAAGACAATGTGAACACAGTGTATTTGGCCATATTTTCCAGTGCATTTAGTTCTCATGAAACATAACAACAGATGGACTCCTGGAGCATGGGATTTTCTTTTCTTTTTTGAATAAGTACCCAATAGGCAGAAATGATAAATGAGGAGAACTTCTTCCAGTCATCCCAACAGGGAAAACACTCTTTTAAAAGAAGCCATTCTGGATATCAAGTAACAGCTAGCAGTCTCCACAAAACCTTTTGCTCCCCTCCAAGCCCTGCTGCTCTGGCCGCTCACGGTGCAGCCTAGGGAGTCTTTTTGAAGCAATAGCCTAAGACTCAGTGCAAAACTATAATCTCAGCACTCTAGGAGACTGAGGCAGTTTAGCAACTTAGAAAGACCTTATGTCAAAAGAAAATATAATAAAGGGCTGGAGAAAGTCCTGTGAAGACCTGGGTTCAATACCCAGTACAAAGGAAGGAAGGAAGGAAGGAAGGAAGGAAGGAAGACAGACAGACAGACAGACAGACAGACAAAGAAAGAAAGAAAGAAAGAAAGAAAGAAAACAGAGAAAGAAGAGAACCCTCAGCTACCAATCAGCAAACATGAATTCATGAAGAATTAGATTCTGTCATAGAAACGAAAGGTCACCTTGGGGACCTCGAAGCAGTGACTATTTTTCTGCTGATCAATCTATCTTCTTTGAGAAAGATTCACATAGGTTAGGTATATATTAGATGTGAATTACTTTTGGCCTGTGTATATTTCAGAAAATAAAAAATGGATTCAGAAAGGCCTGAGAGGTGAGGGTAGGGGACAATTTGTCCTGTAGGGCAGAAGCACTCAAAATTAAAAAGCTGTTACTGTGCTCTGCTCTACCCCAGAAGAGCCCAAAGCAAGATGGAGAAACACCTGAGCTCTAGCCAGCCAGCTGCTTCTCCCTTGAACCTTGCAGCAGGGAAGAGAGAGGGCCTCAGGTCAGCTCTGGGGGTTGCCCGGCTTGGTCTCACATTTTCATGCATCTGCTGCCTCTTGTCTCCCCTGAAGTGGAAGTCACAAAGTATCCCTGGATACCAGGCTTCGCAGCGTCTGCCTGCCCCTTACCCCGAAGTAGGCAGGAGAGCACACCAGCACCAGTTCTTGGAAATTTTGCTGCACAAAGAAAAGAAAGAAAAAACAGAGGATCAGATAAACTCCTCCAGTGAGGCTGCTGAGCGATATTCTGTTTATCCAAATCAAATGTCTTCACATGGGTGTTTACCTACCACTGACCTCTCGTAACCACACCAGGGGGAAATGCTTGCGACTGGTGGATGCTGATGTGGACTTTATTGAAGTGAGTTCCCTTTTCTGATAGTAAATTTGCCTCAGTCAATACTGAATTCAGTTCTTCAATCACCACTGGCCCAAAAGAAGCCAGAGAAAGGTCCTGATGGAGAAGCAAGAAGTGAAGAGGGAGAGGCCATGTGGTGGCTCATGCCTGTTATCCCCTGTAAACTCGGGAGGCTGAGACAGGAGGATCATTGCGAGTTCGAGACCTGCCTGGGCTACAAAGTGAGCTCAAGGCCAGCCTGAACTGCATAGGGAGATCCTGTCTCAAAAAGACAATAAATAAATAAAAGAACTAAAGAGGGAAGCCCAAGAAGATCATCTTGAAAAGCTTAATTTAAAGCAATTAGGATGGAGTGACCAGAGCTAGGGAGATGGGAAGGCCTGGTCAAGCCTCTGATTGCTTTTTCTGGCTTGTCTGTCTGCTTTTGTTTCTCCTTTCTGATGCCCTTTGTCTCTTGACTAAAACCTCCAGAATGGCCAGGTGAACCAGACATGCAAATGGTTCCCTTTTGATCTGTCTCTGTCCTCTCCTAGAGGAAAGCATAGACATGAAAATAAGACAGCCAGCCTCCAGCTCTGCTTTCATGATTTCCATATCCAGTATGACGAGTTTTCCTGGGACAGCCTGCAACCACAGGCGCATCCTCACCCTGCTGCGACTCCAGAGCAGGTAAAGCAGAGCAGAGCCCCTGTGGCAGCCAGGCACACAAGGGCACAACTACGGGAAGCAAAAGTGGGCAAAACTCTCCATGCATTTGCTTCCAGAGCACATGTTCCTGGGGCAGAAGGGCAGGCAGAGAGGCCGGCTGCATCCAGAAGTAACCTTCTTCAAACCTTCACGTTTGTTTTTCTGTTCTGCTCAGTGATAGAACTTTTGGTGCAGCTAAAAAGTTAAGAAGTATGAAATAAAATTGGCCTTTATTTTAAGAATGTAGAGAGAGACTCCATGACCTCTGGGGTCTGGCATTGTCTCTGCCCCACGCGAGGTGTGGGGGCATACATGTAGCTTAGGTTTGGGGTGGTGCCTACGGGGCATTAGTGATGCACGGGTAGCCCATTGGAATTCATTTGGCGCCACAGGTAAATTGCTTAGGGGCAGGGAAGGTGACCTCAAGATAGAGCCTCCTTGGATCCACCTCCCAGGCTCCCACTGGCTACAGTGTTCCATCTGGGGCAAAATCCTTTCACTGGGCTCATTGGGATAGGAATCCCAGCAAGGGGGGGGGGGGTAGGGAGCCTTACAGCATTCCTTCGGAAGCTTCTGGGAATGAAAAATGTCCTCCTCTCAAAAAACATTTTTTTCCCCTCACTTTTCTCTTTGCCTAAGTAACCCTTTTCAGGCAGTCTCTGTTTCCCCTTTTCTTCTAAATCTCTGCTCTCTTCACATTTGGAGTGAATAATGCTGGAAGTAATCCCTCAATCTCTTATCCACACTGACACTTTCGCTCTCTCTTATCCTCACTGACACTGGTTGGGGCGAAACCTTGGTTTGTTCCCGGACATCACCATTGCGTAGTTTTGTCATATTTTAACTGTTACTCAGTCAAAGATACCAGGCAGGGGTGGGGGTTCTGGGTGAGACATACTCCAATTCATCTAAGCAACAATTTGGACCATGAGTTTAGGTCAAAGAGAAACGGTTTTGGCTTTCGGGTCCAAAATTCACTAGCTGTGTGACTGTGGTCCATAACCTCTCTGGCCTCAGTTTCCTCACAGAGCATGGTGAAAATTAAATAAAGTCCTGTACACTAAGCAGCTGTGTCTGGCAGAGTAAGCTGTGCAGTTTTAGCCACAGCAGTCACCAGTGCGTCTGCTCTGCGAACCTACGTCAGATGCCACGCCAGACGAGGGGAAAGAAACAAACAAAGCTTCGCCTCCAGGAGCTCACCGTCCACCCATGGAGACACACACGTAAACACATGGTCACATCAGAGCATTCTCAGTTTGCCCGTCTTCTGTTGCCCGTCTTAACACTTCTTCTAAACCTCTTATATCTAAAAAGACTCAGAGCTGTGCCTTTAGATCGCTGCACGGAAGCCAACACTTATTTGCTCAACATATTCTTCAAACCTCTGTGGTTTCTGTGGCTGTTACTGTGATGTGGGTTTGGGTTTGTTGTTGTTGTTGTTTGTTTTTTGGTGGAGTTTTTTGTTTTTGTTTTGTTTGGTTGGCTTTTTGAGACAGATTATGGAGTGCAGGCTGACTTTGAATTTGCATCATCCTGCCTCAGCCTCCCATTGCTGAAACTACCTACCTACTTTTATAGTTCTCTCTCTATCTCTCTCTCTCTCTCTCTCTCTCTCTCTCTCTCTCTGTCTCTCTCTCTCTCTCTCTTTGAGACGGGTCTCACTATGCAGTTCAGGTTGGCCTCGAGTTCACTTTGTAGCCCAGACTGATCTTGAACTTGCAATGACCCTCCTGCCTCAGCCTCCCAAGTGCTGGAATCACAGGCATGCACCCTCAGGCCCGACTCTACATGGTTTTCTTGATAAGACTTCATTGCTTATTTTTATCTTAATTCCCCTCAGCTGTTGTTGTTTTATTTTTCTCAGGAAGAAGAACCACACATAAGCTCATGGAATGCTAGGAAATCTCAAGAAACTCATTTTGGTTCAAATAAAACTGTTAGAAGTAAGAACAGCAGATTTAGGACACTCTGCCTCCCGCGCGCAGAAGCCTGTATGCACGGTGCCATTAAACCTAAGCAGTTTCTAAACCTCTGCTGCTGACGGCCAACATTGCTGGCTCTCAGAACTGTTAATCATGTTAGAGATGAATCATTCAGTAAAGAGACCAGGGCTGGTTTTCTGACACTAATTCCCGAGCTGCAGGATACAAAACCGAATCCCATCTGCCATTTTGGTGACTCGGCTCATGCTCTCAGCGTAGACTGTTTTGACAAAATGCTGAATTTTTCTGTTGTGTACCTTCAGCTTTATGGCACAATAACAATGCTATGCATTTGTTACAACACAGCTGAGAACAAAAAAATCCTAAAAATATTTCCACATGTATATGCTCCAAATTTTTGTAGAAGCCTTTATGACTGTTACTTTGATGTATACGCCAAACAGGATAAACCCATGAAAGGCAACATTGCTAATGAACACAAGGAACTTTATGTAATTGTAATAGCCAGTTTGGCTAGTTTTATGGGTGTGTGTACATTTAATTTTGAGTTGAGCAATACCCAATTTGGCAATGAGATAGAATAATATGAGTCTTTCTGCTTGTTTGTTTTAATTACTAACAACCAGAGAAAAACTATTCACAGCAGCCAAGAGAATTAGATCAGATCTGAACCCTGCTACTCGTGGGCTGCCATTAACAGGCCTAAAGTGGAT